CTTAATCCTCTGCATTTCTCCCCTTCATTTGTTCTCTGATTAAACTTGAGGCATAGTGTTTCTTCTTCTTCTTCTTCTTCTTCTTCTCTTTTTTTTTTTTTTTTCTGAGTTTAAGTTGCATATAGAGAGGAATATGGTAGAATACTAGAAATGCAAGGCTTGTTCAAGCAACTGCATGATACACCATATTAATTGGTATTGATCAGCCAACGTTAAGGCTAGCAATCCAAGCAACTAAGCTCTTCCATTTGAAAGGAGATTTAACCATTTATGTAACTACCCGTTTATAGTCAAATTTTGGCGGTCAGGTAAAATCTAACTTCAAAAGTGAAATACTTCTAGTAAATCACAAATGATGGGGCGTGTGTGGAGAGAATTTAATAATTGAGGTGTTTGAAAGTTAGAGATTTGACATACAAGTCGTTGAGTTTCTTCTGGTTTTGGAATAAAATCTTCTCGTCCCTTTACTAAGTCCATGTACAAGGGGGGAAGTTGCTCAACTAAAGGAAGAACTTGCTTCATAATGGGAGGACTAAGGTTCTCTATTTGCTTCATTGTCATCTCTGCCTGCAAGTTTTTTGTGTCAGAAGAAACAAGTCAATTTCTTTAGTAACCATCAAATATTAACACTAAAGTTGGAGAAAAAGGGTAGTAATACTATGCTAGAGAACAGAAATAATGATAGAGAAGACAAGGGATACTAATATAATACAACATTACTTATGCTGGCAATCAAAACTATGGACAGGTTCCTAGATTCTATCTACATTACTGATGCTGTAAATAAATTCATAATTTGAAGGAGAAAATATCAAAAGAGAACACAGCCGGAAGTAGCAGACTTCAAAAGGTAATATTCACATGCATTTTTAGCCAGAAAAGCTGGTAAGTTAGGTTTTTACCCCACGTCGGATAGTTGGCGATGATGCAATCTGTGATAGCAATGGTCCAATGCTTTGGGCCATTGGGACAAGAACAGGTGAGAACAAAGGGATAGCTAAGCTTGCTTCCTGCAAAAAACAGGAGCAATATTTTCTTAACCTCAAATCAGTTATGTAGACTAAATAACATAAACATGACTTCCTTTGCATATCAAAAAAAAAAGGAAAAGAAAATAAATAAGTGTAGCCTGATAAATTTGCTACAAGAAATTAAAGAGGAGAAACTATTTAATAATAAGATAGATTACTGTTTCCTTTTACATTCATCTGCTTAGGATATAAGGAGATACAAGGAAAGGAAACACAGATCCTTCCAAGTCCTTAATACAACATTCCTTACCAAGTCAACCCAATTTAAAATTTCTGAGGCCAAATGTTTTGCACGGTACATAGACCTTTTTTTTTTTTAATCCTCTTTTGCAATTATACATTACACATTTACACACAGCTGAAAGTTCAGTTACCTTGTTGTTGAACGCCATTAGTATATTCCCACTTCTTTGCACAGCATATCTTGACCCTGAAAAATTAGGTCATTAATATAACAAATTGCAGTAAACAAAACCAGCCATAACCTTACACTCAATACAAAAGAAGAAGACTGTGAAATACCAATTAAAAGATGAATGACCGATCCCAAAGAATGGCCAATGCCAAAAGTAGGAATATCTTGCACCTGCATGATGAAGGAAATCTAGGTCATTTATTTTCTTTTTCTTTTTCTGATAAGGGCAAAGAGAGCAAGAGAGCTCACTGTTTCTTGCAAAAACCGTAAACATCTGTCAAATTTAAATTGCACTTCATCTGCAATGAAGAAATAATCAAATCCACTAGCATATGGCGTTGCAATCACCAAAATACCCCTGGAGATAATGGACAAGGTTAAACTCCATATTTTCTCGGAAGCTAGCATCACAATGATTACAGCTGTCGTTTGAAATTTCTAAAGGCCAAATCTTCTAATCTCAAATAAGACCAGCAGCTAAATGGATCATAATAGGAATCAGATCAATTAAAGGACTTCAAGTCACTATTTTACATAGAACTCTAAAATGAACTACATCAGATACAAGTAAAGAGAATGAAGTATTTTGTTAAATAAGTATTATTCTGCTCAATTAGTATCAGAGTAACTCGACCAATGTACGGCAACCACTAAATCAATTGTTCAATAATTAGGAAGTAAAAGATAAGTTAACCTACAAACATAAGAATTGGAAAGCTTACCTTTCTGAGAGCCGTTCAAGAAACAAACGGTATGTAAGCTGAGGGGCAGCTCCAACAAATATGCCACCAACAAAATGAACAACTGACTTCAGTTTTGCACTTTTTGGTTTAAGAACCCATGCACCCTGGATAGTATGAATCTCATTAAGGCAATAAGGTAGATCAATTCAAATCTTTTCATTTTCCCATGAAAAGGACAGATTAATATTGCTGCTTATGCAAGTTTACAGAAAAGACAAGTGAAATAAAAGTCAGGGGATTTAACCCCAAAACATAATATTAAGTGGAAAAAGTCTATGTTTTGTTGATACCATGGCATGAGGGAAAGAAATAAAGAAGCCTAAGCTGATAGAGATTATAGTATTATGTTTCCAAATGCAAGCTGAACATGAGAAAAAGAAAAAGAAATGAAAAAACTTGAAAGGCCTGATATCATGTACACATTAGTTGGTAAAATTTTATTGTTTAGAACTTTTGGAGTGTTCAACAAAAGCTAGATTATCTCCTTTCTCGTTGGTCTCATATTTTTCTGGATCATGGGGGGGATTAAGGATATATGTGAGATGGACTTGGGATATCAGTAAATCAATGTTTCCTATAATGTAAGAGATGGAAGGGTAATCTCTTTCAAGAGACAAGCGAATTTTCAAGTAATTGACAGTTTTCTTGACAATAAATTCCTCCTTCTGAAAACTAAAATAACTCTATGACTAATTCACAAGAAAATGAAGCTAAAGAACGAAAAAGTTTATATTTTTTTTATCCTTTTTATATTTGATAATACTAGGCAAAACCTCAATTTCACTCCAGTCACTTGAGCCACCCCAAGCACCTTGAGATTGCCTTACAGTCTCAGTGAGAAGTCTGAAAACAAATAAAGAAGAGAACACCATTTGCAATCATTTCTCCTTAAATGAAATTTGATAAACAATGAATCAATCACAGAACAACTAAACCTTTGACCTCTGCATCTGTAAGATTTAAAGAACATTTGGAATATTCAATGTAATGACTTAATGTTATGTTTTCCAGATAATGACCACGGGTTATTTAATTTGTAAAAAAAAAGGAGCTTTGCAGTCTAGACTGCACAAGAATGCAAACATGGGCCATTGGATACATGCCCCCTGAATCTAGAGCGGTTTGCTCTCATCCAATGACTCAGATTTTGGTGCAATCTAGACTGGAAAACAGCATTGTAGTGATATTCCAGCAACTTACAGAAACTGAAAGTAATAATACCATCCATATTAATAGAGATATTGAAAAACCCCTAAGCCCTTGTTTAGGGGAAAAATATTGAAACAGATAGATACCTCTCAATTTCCCCATAAAGCTGAATTGAGGAGGACGAGGACTGAGGTTGATTCCCGGTGCGGTTGTTATCGTCTTGGTTACAATAGATTCTGCGATTGAAACGGAGTCGATTTGGAAAAAGCAGACGTCGACACTTTGCAGATGGAGAGGAGGCCAAGTTTACGAATCCATTCCTGGAAGAAGGCATATGAATTGGGTTGGGCGTGAAAAGACAAGCGGCAGCCATCTCTGCCGCCGATTACAGTACTGTATTTTATCAGTTGATGAAATATTTTTCAACGCTGTTGTCTTTTGCGTTTTATTACTTGCAAGAAACAGAAGTCCTTCCCCAATTGCGTTTCGGTTTCAACTAGACTAGATTTTTGTTTGTGTTTTGCAAGAAATGACCTTTGCAGTCTGGATGGCCAAATAGGTAACTATGCCAATTCTTCATCAACTCCCCCTTGAATTTTGCAACTAAATCTTTAAATTCAATGGAACGGTCCGCTGTAGCGCAGCGGTATGTAACCGGATTTAGCGTCTGGTTGCTACAATTGTTAAAATTAATTCAGTGGATAGTGAATAGTAATAGGTAGCAAGTGATGATTAACGGATAACGTATGACAGATAGTGAAAAGTGAATAGCCGATAATAAATAACGGATTTGATAAATATAATTATTTGGCTATCTAATAGTTAACGATTGTTATTTAACATTAAATAACTAATAAAGACATGTTTAAAAATAAATAAATTTGTCAATAAAATTAAAAATTTTTAATTAGCTAACGGTTTGGTATAAAAAGTTATATAAACTAGCTTTTTCAATCTGCTAGCGATTTGGACCCTAACCGCTATCTACTATCCGCTAGTCTTAAACCGCTAAATAAAAATTTTACTAAATACTTTAGTTGTAGCAGTTTCAAAATATATAAATTTACCAAACACTTATTACCAAACACTTATGTTTAACGGTTTAAGTAAAATCGCTAACCGCTACCTCAAAACCGTTATACCAATCGGGACCTTAAGGCGGTTTGGTATAGTGATTTTGAGGTAGTGATTAGCGGTTAGATTTAGGGCCTGTTTGGTACAGCGGTTAAAATTCAGCAGATAGCGGGTAGCGAATAGCTGTAGCGGGCGGGTGGCGGTTAGCGGATAGCGGATGGCGGATAGCGGAAAGTGGGTAGCGGATGGTAAATAGCGGATTCCATAAATATAACAATTTGGTTATACAATAGTTAGCGGTTGTTGTTTAACATCAAATGACTAATTGGACATGTTTAAAAACCAAAAAGTGTATTTTTTAAAATATTTTTATTTTTTATTATTAAAATTATTAATTTTATAGAAAAAATAATAAT